ACCTGTTCTATTCAAGAAATGCTTTAGAATTTCCAAAAGTAATGCAAGCACTGACAATACTTAAGAATTGGGGGGAGGAGGGGGGGTTTGTCGTCTCTGTATAACCTCTATTCCGTGAATATAATCTTCATTTCTATTTATATAATGGCTACAAGAGGCCAAATTTAGATTCTTTGGGAATTTTTCCAATAGTCATAGACTTAAGATCAATCGATACATAACAAGTTGATGGGTGAGGAGGAAACAAAACGTAGGCTTTCTCTCTACCAAAATCTCTCACCTACCATACAAGCTCATCCTATTACTTTTGTCTTATTAAGGCTACTTCCAAAGGAGGTGCAGAGGACATGCTAACATTCCAGCATAAAAGGACCGTGAAGGAGAAATAGTTTGGAAGGAAATAAAGAGGCCGATCGATCCCCCTCAAGTAACCCCTGCAGACTTTACCGAGAGGCTACGCAAAAGCAAGCGAAGGGCCTAAGAAAGAATTGTCCAATTTTCTAAACGGGTTAGAAAACGATTCTCACATGACCCATCATTCTTTCTAACAGCAGGTAACACTTGCCCATGACCCTATTTAAAGTCTTAGAAAAGCCACCGGCTTCTTGTACATTCTCATCGTTTTAAATTTGGCACGGAATCTTCGAGCCACCCCAACGCGACTTTCAAAGTCCTCCCTCTGCCCGTGCTGATACGCTCAAGCTGTTCGCCGGTTGGCTGGGTCGCTCCTGCTCCTAAGGGCAAACTCATCTCAAGCCATCACCACCTCTTGTTCAGTTCGAGGCAAACTGAACTCAGAAGCCACTCAGTAGAGAGCTGTGTGGTTATGGTGACTGATTATTGTTAAAAAACTGGGGGGCTGGGGAGGGAGGGCGGGAGAGACAGACACACAACTCGTTTTATTTTATTTGTTAGATTCCTCTAAGAAGCGCATAGAGCCCGGCCTGGGAGTGTCTGCGGTGACTATGAAGGCCAAAAGAGACAGAAAAACACAAACAGCAAATATTCACACAAGTACGTGAGTGCCTATTTCCTTACGTAAACATAAAGCAACCTAAAAAAAAAATTATAATAAAGTGCTGCCTGACCAGCAGGCCACACACACATAAGACCCAGAACAACAAAAATAATCAAACCCCGTGATTAGCCGGCACACGCTGGCCAGCGGAAGCAACTCAAGCAACGACAACACAGGGAAAAGGCACAGAGCATTCCATCCAGGCGAGACGGTCAGAGAGCCAGGGCCCCGAGTCTGACCCGTCCCCGGGGACACGGTCGAATGATCTGGAAGGAGGAAAACGCAAACTACCCAACATACCAGTTTAGCTGTGTCTTTAACTCTGCTTGCAATTGGAGAATGGAAAACAGTGCATGATATTTTACTAGCCCTCAGCTAACGGTTTATAGTTACTCCACTAAGATGCTATGACACTTTTAAAAGGTCGACCGAACGTTATCAGTGGACCTGACACTGCTCAAAAGGAAGTCACTTTAGTAAAGCACCACGTTAAGCCCTATCTTGGCTGCTCACGCTTCTCGTGGCAATAAATGACTAAATTACTTAAAAGGACGCCAAGACCACTACCTTCGGAGTTAGTGACATCTTGCTGGATGCAGACCCGACCCTAACCTACCATGGTATCTTAGACTGCAAAAAAAAATAGGTGGAGTGTTTCATACAAAAATAACTTCAACTCGTCTTAAAAAAAAGCAACAAAAAACTAAGGCAAATGATTTTAATAGTGTAGTGTAAAAAATAAGCTTACTGTTATGCATTTAATAGTGTTCACTGAAGGTAACATTCTATGCATTCTGAGGAAAACAGCGTTCTTGCTTGTGATTCATTTGTC